TTGAGGTCTGCTGGCCTCACTCTCCCACTCTGTCCCCACTGTCGTGGTGGTGCTCCACTGTGCCACCACCACCTCCTGGCCATAATGCTTTATTCAAGCTCTGATTGGCTGCCAGACAACCAATCAGAGTACGAAAAAAGTGTTATGGACAGACAGACAGACAGACAGACAGACAAAGGCTTATGTGTATGTATATATAATTGCACATGATGGACTGCCACTTTTGGGTCTAGATACCAGTCTCAGAATACTGTGACCAAATAGTTTCGAACACCTGAGAAAACTGGCAGAGGTGGTTGCAGTAACCACATGCATAAATTTGGCACATTTTGGACATGCATCTTCTTTAAAAAGTCAGATCCCACTTCTATTTATGGTACTTCTTACTATCCTAAAAGGTTCCACATTTATACCCCAAGCTGGTCCCTGGGCATTTGAACTCTAGTCCCTGTAGCATGCTGCTATCATACTGCAGGGCCTGCAACCTCAGAGATATTTTTTATGTTTAAATTTAAAATATTCTATTTGGAATAGATTTAAAAGTTCAGACAGGCAATTAAAAGGAATAAATTCCTGTTAGCTGAATTACAGTGGGATAAGTTGTAGCCGTGTTGGTCTAAGGACATAAGCAGACAAGGTTCTTTGGGTAAAGCTGATACCAGATTTACCCAAGGAACCTAGCCTGTTAGCTAAATTATGTACTCTTTAGCTGTTTTCTTCTCTTGCAAAACAAAATCAAAGTGGAGTTATTTTTTCAGGCAGACCCTAGATAAGCTAGATTTATACTTTATTGTACCTGACCTTAAAGGATCGGTTTTGTATTTTGAATATAATGAGGTAGGCTTCCAAAGATCTTAGCTGAGAATGAAGTTGGTGTTTGGATTTTGTGTTTTATCTTTTTTGGAGGGGGAAGGGAGGTTATTTGTTAGGTTTTGGGGGGATTTTTTTTTTTAATCTTGGTATAAAAAGAAGAAAGTCTTATTATAACCATAAGTAGCCTTTTGAATGAGTTTGACCATAATGAAGGCAGTAGATCAGTGGATATGCATGTCATCCACAAATATCACTTCTAAACCTTCAAAATGATCGCATTTCAAACAGGGTAGTAAGAATGGTTGCCAAGTATCCAATAAAAAGGAAGGATGACCTTGTGATCAAGACACAGCAACAAGAAGCTAATTTTACATCTGGATTTGCCACAGATTTCTGGTTGAACTCTGTGTTCCTGTGGTCCTCATCTGAAAAACAGGGATAATGTTGCTTCTACTTTACTACCTCAAGGATTTTATCAGATGTTAATTAATAACTCTGATTAGGCACTCAAATACTATGATGAAAATATTTTATAAATAACTATGAATAGTGGAAAAATAATGTTGGAAAATAAATGGAAAATAAGTCTTTGTTTTCATTAACCAAGAAAGGAGCATAGAGAATAAATGTCACTACCTACATTCTGTGTAGTTCCTGAGCTGTACGTGCATGTCCCTCTTTTATATCTGCATCTTTTCCCTGAACTATTCATGCACTTAAAAATACAGGAAACTTGCCATTTTGTGATTAAATCTAACCAATTCTTTTATAGTATTTTTTTTCTATAATGACAGACTTAGTATATGATTCTTACCATTCTCTGACAATGACCTCTAATTGATAAATAAAGCATCTGAACAAGTTTTGTGGGATTTCTATTTTCCTGTATGTTGATTGTTTTATAAAGTAGAATTTCAGTTCTATCTGTAAACAACTAAATGGTTTTAAAATGTGCAATTATTTAAATACCATTTTTGGTATAATAAAAAAAAAAAAACTTGAATCTAATAGAGAAGTCCAGAATCTTATAAATGTTCAAATGTTATGTTTTGCATTCTGGAGGTATTCATCTTCCATATTCTGAATGCGTAGAGTGAGAGTCTGGACTGTGCCTCAAAGAGGTGCCACACAGGCATTTTAGGCAAAGGGGTCTTAACTTATTTTTTGCACCTTATCTGTTGATTCTCATATCTGAGTGCATCTGAACCTTGCCAAAAGTTTTGTCTTAGTCACATCTCATGGCAGTGACTTCCAGGCTCTGATGACATGTAGTGTGAAAAAGTATTTCCCAGTATTTACAATTTTGAATTTGCCATCTTGTGATTTAATTGCATATCACCTTGTTCTTCTGCCAAGAGGCAGATCAGGTGCTGCTGTTCTCGTCTTCTTGGTATTGTTCAATATATTATTTTTATGTTCCCTTTTATTTGTCTCCTTTCAAAGATGGAAAAGATCAGGATTTTTTTAATTGCCCTTTTTCAGGCCTTTGATTATTCTTTGAAACCCTTTCAGTTGTATAATATCCTTCTTGAGATTAGGGTGAACAGTACTGTGTACAGAATTTCAAATGATGCCAAACCACTAATTATATGTTCTATTTTCTTTATTATTCATCTGACAGGAATGGAAGAGAGCATTTATTTTGCTGTCTTTCTTTCACCAGAGGGAAAAGTTATTGTGGCTAGAGCAGTGGTGCTCAGCATAAGGCCCACAGGCTGGATCCAGCCCACGTAGCCATGTCATCTGCCCACAGGGCTCCACATGGGTCCAGAAATTTGACAGAAGGGGAGTGGTGCCACTGTTAACTGGCACTGCTTCCCTGCTGGGGAGCCCCGCAGGCCAGGTGACATGGCTCCATGTGTTGGATCTAGATTGGTCAGTCACCACTGGGGTTAGAGTACTCTTCAGCAACAGATCCTGGGCTTCCCTGACATGTCATTTTCTGAAGCACAGGACGGTAGCTTGCTTAGCCCCTCCCATTTATCTCAATGTTTTGGGCAGCTGACAAGTTTTTGCCTCTCTCTCCAGAGACCTAGCAACAAACCCCAAGGAAGTCAAATCCCAGTGAGAAGCATCGTCAGGGAGGTTTGTCTGTTGCATTGTTACTAGCATTGAGAATAGGAAACGCTCCTTGAGTCGCACTTCTGCTTCTCAAATGCCAGTTTCATTTGTCCAGGAGCAAAGAACCCAGATGGCTCTACACACTAGTCAGGGATCTCTAGGAGATTCATTTTTGTTATAAAAGGTTTGCACAGGTCACAGAGTATCTTTTCCCCTCTCACCTAAATAATAAGTTAAAGAGAAATACAATGTCATAGAGAATTTTCTTACTGTGGAATGCACCATCATTCTGCAGTAGTTTCTGGTGAATTTAAGGACCACTTCTCTTTAATAGTTGGTATGATTCAGCAAAAGCTGGAGCCATCCATGCCTCCTTTGAGATGGAACATTTTTTCCTGTCTTGAGTAGGTCAATAGCGGCATTCTCATTTTCTACTTCTGAGGAGAAGCACTTGTAGTTGCAATCCATTGTGCAAGTAAACAGGAGGAGGACACCAGATGGAGCATGCAAGCCACTTATTTCCTCTCCTCTCCAGCTTTCTGCATTCTCCACATATTTGTAAAACTACTTTTGTTTTAAAATGACTCTAATTCTGAGAGTGCCATTAAAATACAGAAATGCTTCTCCCTGACCTATTGCTCTGCATTCATGTTGGTAAAATTTTGGATGTGTTTCCATAGTCGCCCCAGCCAGTTCTTTGTCAGGGCGAAGAGTTTGATTGGCTCAATTAATCCACATTCTAGCTGGAACTGTTCATTTAAATCGTCACAAAATCCACTCTTTTCCAATGCAAATCCTGCATTCCCAGATTGAATTCCCACTTCCTAGTACAAAGATTCCAAATTCTTCTTTACATGCATTGCCCGTAGCCAATTCACAAGCACCTATCCAGAATTCCCTCCATTTCACCTTCCTGCTAAAATTATGAACCTCCCCAAAAAGGAAATTGCTATGATAATTAAGAGAACTAAAGAGATGGCAGCAATCATCTTTAGGTTGTTTTTTTTAATTCCTTCACTATTATATCCACCTGCTTCAAAAAAAGATTTCTCGGTACAGTTGAACTCCATGATTTCTCCATGAATTCTACTCTATGCAAACTGTTCCACATCTCTTGAAGAGTGCTGCCAAGTTATGAAATTCTAGTTATAAAACCCTTAACTAACAGTAATAGATGGTGGTTTTGACTGTGACTTGAAATACTTAGGAAGGCTTTTGCAGATGGCAGGAGGTATAGAGGAGGAGGTGTGTGTAGCAATAAGCTGGAAAGTAGAGACGAGAGTTTTCTTTAGATGAAACTTGGGTCAGATTTCTTCCCTAAGTTGTAATGTGTACTTTCTGGAGAACCACACTATCTTGGCAGTGGATGGCCTGCCATGACTGAAGGTAACACAGGCACTTTTTCTTTTTCTTTTGCTTAGATGTCTATAAACAAGAGATAAGATCAGCAGAAATGTAAAGTTAAAAATAAGGACTAATAATAGCTATTTTGCTTTAGACCAGGGCTGTCCCACTGGTGGTCTGTCGGCTCCTGCACAGTTGCCACTCTCCCCATTGCTCCTGTTGCTGCTGCAGCTGCAGGGATCTCTGGTGCAGGATAGCATGGCCCAAGTCAGCTCAGTAAACTTACTGCCTAGATGGGGATAGGGGTGCTTAGGCTGCCACATGGCAGCACCAGCATGTGGGCTTAGGTGAGGAGCTTGCACTGCTTGTGCAGTGGTAGCAGGTGTGAGGGGGGGTGACTTGCCCATATGACAGCAGTGGCAGGAGGTGTTCATTTTACTCTGGAGAGGGGAGGCTGGCAGTGCCGATACAGCTGTACATAGACTCACACAGCATCAAGGGGCACTTGCCCCGCTAGAGCAGAAGTGTTGCACACAGCTGGGGTCCTGGGAGGCTGTGTGGTATGTGGCCCCCAGGGCATGAGGCCTGCATGTTGTACAGCCTGGGGCCCAGGATCAATGAGGCATGAGGTCCCCAGACACTTTTAAGGTGGACAGTCCTGCTTTAGACTAAAGTTTGCAGGTGCTGCTTTATTTACAAAGCCTTTGTGGTTTTTATTATCCAGAGA